AACCTTGACCCACACCCCACATCATTTACAAAAATTATTTTAACATGGATCATAGACCAAAATGTAAAATGTAAACTACAAAACTTCTAGAGAAAACTTTCGTGACCTTGGATTAGGCGAAGATTTTTTTTAAGATACTGCACCTAAACCACAATCATAAAAGAAAAAAATTGATGCTTTGGACTTAAAGTTAGAAACTTCTGCTCTTCTAAAAATCTGTTAGCAGTTTGGAAAGACAGGTCACAAACCCGGAGAAAGTATTTGCAAACCCCCTTATTCGACCAAGGAAAAATATCTACATAATGTAAAGGACCCACAAACCTCGACAATAAGAAAATAGATTCAACAATTTAAGAAATGGGGCATAGACTTTGATCACTTCACCAGAGAGACAGAAAAGTACATTTTACTCCATGGATATTAAAAAATACATTTAGAAAAGAATATACATCTATCAGAACCCATCAGTCACCTGAACCTAAAGTAGAAAAAAAGTCAGTCTTTTTCTGAGTTTTTGTACCGTATTCAGTATTTTAAAATTATACAAACAAGCATTTTTAATGTTCTATATAGCATCCCAAAATGGAGCTGTTCCTGCTCAGACGTTCAGACCTGATGACTATGCCTTATTTTGCCTGTACCATTTATTTTGAATGTCTAGTTTCTCTCTCTCTCTTTTTTTTTTTTTTTAAAGATTTTCATTTATTTGACAGAGCACAAGTAGGCAGAGAGAAAGAGGAGGAAGAGGCAGGCTCCCTGCCGAGCAGAGAGCCCGATGTGAGGCTCGATCCCAGGACCCTGGGATCATGACCTGAGCCGAAGGCAGAGGCCTTAACCACTGAGCCACCCAGGCGCCCCTAGTTTCTCTCTTAATCTGAGTGTCTTCTCTAGTGCCTTTATTAATTTTAGCATCAAGTCCCAGGAGCCCATTCTCTCGAAATCACCCATTTCCACTCTTCTTGTGACAACTTTAACTTAACTAGTATTTTCCTTTGTGTGGCTTTCATTTATTTCTTGTCAATTACTGTTTGGTTTGGTTTCTTTCAGCCCCATTTTACGCTCTCTCTTGATTTTCAAGCGCTGTGACTGACGGCGAGTGGCTGGCATCTGTGGGAAGAGGAAACAGTGGGCGCAGGAGGCAGATGGGGTGTGTAGGTGGGATGCCATGACTCATTTTCTCATGTGTTGGTTTTTGGTGTGGAAATGTTAAGGACCCCAAAAGAAAACCCTTTATAAAGCCCGTAAGTCATTTTAGCCTTGGAAAAATATCTTTTGAAGCTCTTTTGACTTGGCTGCCTCTTTCGTAACCTCACTAAATTCTCTCTGTCTTCAGCCTCTGTTTGATCTGATCTATTTCTCTTTCACAGAATGTGAATTCTAATCTCACATTTACTAGACAAAGCCAACTGCCCCAGTTTCTTGAGAGTCTGCGTTATTTTTTTGTGCTGCTGTTTGGTTTTATATCCACTTGGGTTTTTAGTGTTGTTTTTCTTTTATTTTGGTGGGTTCCTAAATTACAAAAGTAATCAATGTTCATAAGAGAAATTGTTAAAAATAATATAGAAGGAATAAAGAAAAAAATGCACAATCCCATTACATAGCTATTATCATGGTTTACATTTCAGTGTACAACTTTGCAGAATTTTTAAATTTCTAAATACACATATGTATATTCACATAGAATATATACATTATAATGTATTATATCTTAATTTTTTTTACTTAATATACCTTGAGTTTACCTTCATTGCTAAATATTCTTCTACAACATAGTTTTCTTTTTAAAATTATTTTAATTCCAGGGTAGTTAACTTATAGTGTTATGTTAGTTTCAGGTGTACAATATAGTGACTCAACAATTTGGTTTTCAATGATACATAATAAACCACTATTTGGGGGTGCCTGGGTGGCTCAGAGGGTTAAGCCTCTGCCTTTGGCTTAGGTTATGATCTCAGGGTCATGGGATCAAGCCCTGCATCGGGCTCTCTGCTTGGCAGGGAGCCTGCTTCCCCCTGTCTCTCTGCCTGCCTGCTTGTGATCTCTCTCTCTTTCTCTGTCAAATAAATAAATGAAATCTAAAAACAAAAACAAAACCAAACCACTATTTGAATCTATCTATGTACCTACGTACCTATCTGGCTACCTACGTATCTAACCATTTTCCTGTTAATGGATATTTAGGTATTTTCCATTTTTATTGTAAAAAATATATTTCATTCGACATACTTACAAGTAAACCTGACACATTTATGGGGATTTTCTCAGGGTAAATTCTCGGGAGTAGAGCTATTGGGTCAAAAAGTGTACATAGCTTTAAGGATTACTGAGGTCTCCTGGGAAGTTTAAAATTCTCCTTGGGCTGTCAGAATGTCATTTCTCTGCATCTCCACTGGGAATTCTTTAATTTTTTTGACTACTTATTAGACAAGAAAACTGGCACTTTAGAGTTTGCTTAATGTGCATTTGTTCGTAGTAAGGTGTAGATTTCTTTGTGTATTAATTTATCATTTTAGTTATTCTCTTGTGAATTTGCCCGCCCATGCCCATAGCCTAATTTTCTATTGTAATGTCTTTATGGCTGCTTCTTTGCTCTAAACTGACTGATAAGAGGTAATTTATAGTGATATTAACCTTTCATCTGCCACACATTGCAAATATGTGTAACAAATTATCATCTGTTAAATTTGTGGTGAGGTATGTTAACATTTTCATCGTACTTGTGATTTGGAATTGTTTTGCCATCATATTTTCTAGATACTCTGATTACAAAGGGAGCTCTTGGTTTTCATAATGATTTTGCATCTCAACACCTTATTAAATTATATTATTGCTTATAATAGTTATTTAGTTGATTCTACTGCTTTTTCTTGGTTGACAACCAAAACATCTGCAAGTAATGATAATTGTGTGTTTTATTTTATAGTATTACATCTCCTTACTTTGTGACATTAGCTGGGATTTTCAGAAAGCCAACTAGTAGTAGGAATAATTGACTGCCTTGTCTTTTTCCTGATTTTTACAGAATACTTATAAACACAAAGTTGGTAGTTGCTGTGCATATATAATTTTTTTAAGAGAGGGAGACTGAGAGCAGGGTGTGTAGGGGCAGAGGGAGAGAGAGAGAAAATCCCAAGCAGGCTCCACACCCAGCCTAGAGCCTGGTGTAGACCTGGATCTCACAACCCTGAGATCATGACCTGAACCCGGAATCAGGAGTCAGATGCTCAACTCAGTGAGCTACCCAGGTGCCCCAGAATATATATATTATTTTTCATGTGAAAAGAGTGCTGTTCTATTTTTGTTTTGCCGTTATTTTTTTTTAAATCTTCCTTTCTAATTTGAAGCCAGTTTTTTTTTTTAAAGATTTTATTTATTTATTTGACAGAGATCACAAGTAGGCAGAGAGGCAGGCAGAGAGAGAGGAGGAAGCAGGCTCCCTGCTGAGCAGAGAGCCCGATGCAGGAACCTGGGATCATGACCTGAGCTGAAGGCAGAGGCTTTAACCCACTGAGCCACCCAGGCGCCCTGCAGTTATTTTTAATAAGAAATGCGTTTTGAATTTTAATTAAAGCACTTGGGGCATCTGTGGAGATGCAGATGAATTTTTTTTTCCCCATTGAGATATCCCAGCATTCCCAAAATAAATTTTAAACCCAGGATCTAGTTTTCTTATAGTATAATGTTGGTGCATTTTTTTTCATTTTTCTTTCATACTTTTGTCCATGTATAAAGTGAGTTTGAGACTAACCTATATTTCATTCTTTTGACATTAGTATCAGGTACTGCTATCAGGTTTATACTACCTTGGTATAGTCATCTCTGAGCTTTGGTGGAATTTTTATCTGTGTTTATATTTTCCTTCTCAGTCATAATTTTCTATACCTTTGCTTTCTTTCTTTCTTGAGTACACTTGCTAGGGGCTTGCTATATATTAATAATAATAATTAGTTATAAAGTAACAGCTCTGGGGACGCCTGGATGGCTCAGTCGGTTAAGCCACTGCCTTCAGCTCAGGTCATGATCCCAGGGTCCTGGGATGGAGTCCCACATCGGGCTCCTTGCTTGGCAGGAGCCTGCTTCTCTCTCCACCTCTGCCTGCCACTCTGCCTGCTTGTGTGCTCACTCGCTCTCTCTCTCTCTCTCTCTCTCTCTCTCTCTGACAAATAAATAAATAAATAAAATCTTAAAATAAAATACACCTCTGGAATAATTTATAATCTTACCTATTTCCTTTTTAAAAAAATATTTATTTATTTAATTGGGGGAGGAAGGGCAGAGGCAGAGGGAGAGAATCTTCAGGAGACTCCACACGGAGTGTGGGACTGGTCGTGAGGCTCTGTCACTTGGCCCTGAGATCATGACCTGAGCTGAAACCAAGAATCGGCCATTTAACTGACTGAGCCATCCAGATGCTCCCCTGCTTGCTTTCTTAAATCTCATTTTACATTTACTGCTTATTGCAATAAATGGATCTGCTTCTGGAAATTATTTTAATGTTGAAATTCAACAGAGAGCGTTAGCCCCAGCATCCCACCATTGTAGATTTTGCTCAGTTTCCAGTAATTACAGGATCACCTTCGTGTTTAAAAACAAAAAACAAAAAACGATGGGGGAGACTGGGTGGCTCAGTGGGTTAAAGCCTCTGCCTTTGGCTCAGGTCATGATCCCTGGGTCCTGGGATTGAGCCCCACATCAGGCTCTCTGCTCAGCGGAGAGCCTGCTTCCCCCTCTCTCTCTGCCCACTTGTGATCTCTGTCAAAGAAGTAAATTTAAAAAGAAAAGAAATGTTCAAAAAAAAAAGATGCAGGTTTGCTGCATTTTCTAAAAACCACTTCCGTCTGGGTAGAGCTACAAATTCAAAATTCATTGGTAAGCAAGGAGGGAAAATCCCTATCCTTTCCTCATTTCCTCTTTGAATACTCAGTCGTTGAAACCAAAATGTGCTTACTGGGCATTATTCAGGTGTCGTCTCCTGGGGGGGCTTTTTTCTCTGTTTGCAGATATCGCAGTTGTGGAGATGAGTGATGCTTTCCGACAGCCGTCCTTGTTTTACCACCTCGGAGTGAGAGAAAGCTTCAGCATGGCCAACAACATCATCCTCTACTGTGATAACAACTCAGACTCTCTGCAGTCCCTGAAGGTACCTGACCTGTTTGCTAAGTATTTACTTGGGGCACCAGGGTCCTAGTGATACCTCTCTGTCCCTGTGATAACCAAAGCAATGGAAGCAGCTTACATTTGTGAAAGCTTGTTTTTGCTAGTCCGATAGTTATACAATTCCTCATGACATTTATCTAGAATTCAATGTAGAAATTTGATGATACACAGGTAGGAGAATCTTAGTGTTGAGTTTTGAGCTGGAGTTTGAGTTGATGTTGAGGAAACTGCATTACTAGAAGTCATCCGTGCCCACTGCCTGCCCGAGAAAGACCTGGAAATTGCGTAAGCATGGTCAGGCCCTGAGCTGTATCGCCGTTGGGGGTTTTTCATTGGGCACACCTGTCTTCGACTGGAAATCTGCCTCCTACTGGAAGGACTCTATTTTTTTTTTTTTTTTAAAGATTTTATTTATTTATTTGTCAGGGAGAGAGAGAGGGGGAGAGAGCAAGCACAGGCAGACAGAATGGCAGGCAGAGGCAGAGGGAGAAGCAGGCTCCCTGATGAGCAAGGAGCCCGATGTGGGACTCGATCCCAGGACGCTGGGATCATGACCTGAGCCGAAGGCAGCTGCTTAACCAACTGAGCCACCCAGGCGTCCCTGGAAGGACTCTAAACAGACCTTCTCTCACTGATTATCACCAGAAAACTGCCATCCTCTTGACTGGGAAATGCTTTCAATAACTTAATAACTTAGGGAAAGGGGAGATAGGAACCTACTATATTTGTCTACAAATTCAGCGGACCCCATGTCATTCTCTCCAGGATAGGAACATAATGATATGAAGGCGTTTCTTCCGTCCAGAAAGATTGTCTAAAATGCTTTTGCAATACAATCATTGTGCGATTCTTTGAAAAGCATTTAACAATTCAGTGAAACTCATGCTGAACCTGATATCATCCATTTCCTTTGTGAAACTTCCAGCTAGCTTTATGTGGCTTTTTCTCATCTATATCTTCTAGTTTTCAAATAGAAGTCAACCTTGAGACATGGAGTCCTAAAACCCAGAGCCGTATTTCTAGTGACTTAGTAATTGTTATATGAAGATCTCTAACTCCACGACTGTGAAAAAAAAAAAAAAAAAAGACAAAAAAGAAAGTAACATTTTGCTTTTATCTGAGTGTCTAAAGCTTATATGGTTTTTTTCTGAGAAATCTACAGTTACTTTTAGCAAATACATTTACTGCATGCCAGGCAATGATAGGCTAACCCTTTCCAGAATACTCTGAAATTCAAGTCCCAGGATATTTGCCCTCTCTGTCTGCATCTGTTTTTTTTTTTTTTTTTTAAACCTGGGGCAATTCTTTAAGCGGCCCTACTTTATTTTACCTTAGATTTACCACTTTAAGTAAAGCATCATAAAATTTTGTGTGTTGTATTTTAATTAAATATTTTGATTTGCTACTATTTACATTAACAGTGATAAAAGAATGAGATAGTTTTATTTATTCTTTTTATTGTACTATTTTATTTTCTTTACATTAAGTATTCTAAGCAAGCAGTATAGTGTTAGACATTTTTCACTCTAACCGCTTTTTATTCTTGCCCTACTGGTAGCTGGTGATTTCATTTAGGACTACTCTTTCCTGGGGAAATTTTTAAAAGCTGAATTAAAATTACATTAGAGAGAAAGAATTGAAGCTAATATTTTCAGAAATTTGTATGGGACAAATACACTGATTTATTTAATTGCTTTTTACCAGCCTTTGTTTAAAAGTGTTATTGGTATGTGAATACAATAGTTCTTTTAAAAGGCTAGTCCAACTAAAACACACTCATTTATCTTGTACATAATAGCTGCTAGTAACTGAGCACTTACTCTGTGCTTTCCCCACTTACATTTTCACATTTAATTCTAAAAACATCCCTGTGGGGTATATTATGTCCTATTATATCACTGTTTTGTAGAACTGCAAACTAAGGCTCAAATAAATTCAGTCATTTGCCCTAGATCATGTAACTAGTAAAGTAAAGCCTAGGTCTGCCTAACTCCCAAGCCCAGCCTCCAAACCACTAAACTTCATTGCAATTTCTTCTAGTTAGAAGGATATCCAACTTTCCCTGCTTAGTGTGTTCCTTTAGAAAACCCATCAACTATGTCTGCCCCCCGCCCCTGAGTTGTTCCATGAGACACCCATCCTTTCTTTTCTGCCCCTCTTTCCATTAACTTAAGCTTTTGCCATTGTTATTGTTGTTTTTAGTTTGTTCCTAGCCCTAATAAGTATCTGGTTGCAGAGGACAAAGCCCTCTGGGATAGAAAATATTTTTTTCAATCTAATAATTTCCCGAGCCCTAGAAATTTTTCTGGTCCTCTGCTGTTGAGGAAAGTCTGTGTGTGTGTGTGTGTGTGTGTGTGTGTGTGTGTGTGTGTGTGTGTTTAATTTTACTAATTTCTGTTACAGTTCATTATAGGTGTAATCTCTGCCTTCTACCAATAGAAAAGAAAATTGCTATGAAATAAGGCAGAACAAGAGTTATTATACATAAGCTGTTCTGGATAGATCAGCCTAATAAAATAAAAACGAAGCTTGTCCCTGTTTTTGCAGAGCACATACAGAATGAGAATGCTATTCTTGTCACATAGCTAGCTTCCCTAATGTTGATTCTTTGGACATCTAGAAAGTACAGCTACACCAGTTTAATTTTCATTTGCTGTTCTTTGTTGAAGACAGCAGTTTCTCTTTGGTGGTAAATTCTCTGGATGAAATCATAGGAAAAAACCTTTAAGGTTCAGCTCCTAAAAAATAATTGATCGGAATTCATAAAAGTACCTGAAAGCTACATCTGAGTTTTCATATGAAAGGATATTGAGAATTTAATCAAATCACGTACTTGCAGTAAGCTTTGTATCCATTGGAAATCACAAGTACTCTTCTAGGAGAATGAAATAGTTAATTTTTTTTTTCCAAAAAAAAAAAAAAGATCATTGCACGTTGAGAAAGAGAAGTTGATATTTTTCCCCTTAGCATTTTAACAACACAATTTTCACAGTTTTCTTTAAATACCGTGACAACTTCTTAGGTGTCTGCCAGTGAGACTCTATGCTAAGACTTATATTTGCTTGAAAATAAGAAATGGTCGAAATGGTATTTTTCGGATTACCTTCATGCATTACAGAAATGATCCGACCCCCACCTGGGGTCTCTCAGTAAATGGGAGCATTAGGTCTGGACACTACTGACCAATGAACTGTGGGGCGTCAATGAACGGCCACTGTGTAGAGTGTGGGAATTATTTTAATGAGCCATTTCTTCTAGCATCAGAAATTCCTGTTTAACGACAGCTCTCAGCTCCACTCCTTGAGATTCTTCCCCCTTTTCCCTTCTTCAGCTCCCTCTCTTCCTTGTAGGCTACTCCCCACTCACTTCAGACAATGCTGCTTAGAAAAACAAAGCAAAACAAAACAAGGAAATACCACTGCGCACCATCAGATAGTCAACAGTTAAAAGCCCTTATGATGCCCAGGCTGAGGCTGTGGAGAGTGGAAAGCAGGCCCAGCTGATGGGAGGGGATGCTGGCACTACTTCCAAAGAGCAGTTTGGCAACACCTACTATTATCAGATGAACGTGGCACCAAGACTCAGCAACTCTTGCCTCTTGATTTGCACCGCAGAACGAGTCTGTGGCAAGCAGAAGGAGATCTAATCGACAATATTATATTGACATTGTAATAACCCCTCCCCCAGAGGAATTGGTAAATACCTATCAAGGAGAGAATGAACAAACACCTTCTGGTGTCGTCAGTTAGTGGACTATTACAGAGCACTTAACATGAGTTAACTAGAGCTTTCATGTCACTATCCATACAGCTCAAGAACAGTGTTGGGAGCAAAAACAAATTACAGAAGCGTGTGTGTGTGGTATGATGCCATCCGTACCAAATCGAATCAATGCAAGACAGTGTTTTATACCTACTTGGGTTACAAAGGACTGACATTTGCGTGGGAATCACAAACAACAAATTCAGAATAGTTATCTCTTTTGGGGGTAGGAGTAGAACAGAACCATGGGGAAAGACAAGCATCTTCAAGCTTACCTATAATATTAGATTTCTAAGTCAAGGTGGTATATACATGGGTGTGTCCTAATTTCTGTACTTTTTATATAGTTGAAATATTTCACAATTAATTCTTTTTTTAAGGAAGAAGTCTGTGATACTTTGTTATTGTATCTACCAGAATAGTTATTTTGGGCATTTGAATCCCCAAATCGCTTGTAATTTCTTTTTCCTAATGTTCTAACTGTGATTAAAAAGGCTCAGATGCATTTGGGTCTTTCTGTACCAAGATGGGCTTTATTCCCATTTTATCTACTACAGAGTAAAAATATCTTAGAGATTGATATGCATGTCAGTTAGTGGGGACAGAGCTTGTGTTGAAAAGTAATGATTATGTGAGAGTATTCCCTTTTCAAGAAATTTAGTTGGATTTTTGTCTTTACTCATTGCTGGAAAAGTTGTTTTACAGACGGGATTCTCCTTAGTAGATTGTTCTCTGCAGCAATCTATCTATGTGCTTAATCCTTCACAATCCCACTGAGGAGATCCACACATACGTGATAGCGGAACCGCTTCCCCTGCCTCAGTGCATCTAGTATTTTCTAGATTGGGATCTAACTAGCATGAAATCATGGGTGCACAAATCAGAATTTGTATACCATCACTAAAATAGCCCTTTAAGAATCATCCTTTTTTGTTGTTGTTGTTAAGATTTTTTAAATTTATTTGACAGATCACAAGTAGGCAGAGAGGCAGGCAGAGAGAGACAGGAGGAGGAGGCAGGCTCCTTGCTGAGCAGAGAGCCCGATGCGGGACTCGATCCCAGGACCCTGAGATCATGACCCGAGCCGAAGGCAGAGGCTTTAACCACTGAGCCACCCAGGCGCCCCAAGAATCATCCATTTTTAACCGTATGGCAAGTCCTCAAAAAATTAAAAATAGAATTACCACATGATCCAGCATTTTCACCTATGGACATACACCT